CGTCATGCCACGGTGCTCGTATTGTGCAGGAGCGGTTTCAAGAACATGGGGGAGACTTTACCTTGCTTAGGGGAAGTACGATCGATATGTCAGTCCGGGGGGGGGAGCGGCAGCACAAAGTGTAAATACGCCGCTGGGTGGCCCGCACAATCAACAGATCTCAATCCAATTGCAGCATTTGTGGGACGAAGTTGAAAGAGCCAATCAGGCAGCTGGTTCCACAACCATCAAATCTCACAGAACTGGACAGCGCTATTGATCAGGCGCGGCGTCAGATTCCTCGCATCACCTTTCACCATCTCGTGGAGTCAATGCCAAGAAGAATCTCCGCAGTATTGAAGGCAAAAGGCGGCCCAACGGAGTACTGATGGGGTGGTCATAATGATCTGGCCACTCAGTGTATATACACAGGATAGCCGAGTCATTGTATACAGCCAATTCCTGAAGAGAATAACAGAACTCCTCGATGGGATTCCGCAGATCGGGATTTACATTTTGCTGGAAGTTTTATTTCTCTCGCCTGGTTATGATTACCGGAGGAGATGATTGGCTCTGAGGACGGAGCGGCTGTCAGGAGGAATGAGTTGGACTTTCTGTGACCTAACATTAGAATTCCAGCGACCAGGCGAAGTTCCGGAGGATCCATTTATTACATCACTGAAGTCACATTCTCCCCGCCGGAGACATTTCTCTTCTTCAGGACAATTTATACCTTTATAATTCCTTGGTGGGAGTTGCCGAAGTCTGACTTCCTCCCTCCTCGAGACTCTCCCCCGTGCCAGCAATACAAGGCTTGAAGCAGACCAGTAAAGAGACATTAGGAAGAAGACTTTGAAAATGCTGGTTGACTGGCTGCCATGTAGAATATACAGATTATGTGTTGTAACTTCACTCTTCAACCTGCATGCTTGCTTTCTAACCTCTGGAACTCTCTGCAAGCCGCTCCAATCTCTAGAGCTATACCCCATCCCTGAAACTGCACCAATCCCCCCACCCCCAACCCACTAGAGCTACACCCCACCTCCGGAACTCTCTGCAGACTCCCCCCATCCTTTAAACTAGTAGCCTACCTCTGGAAATCTCAGCAGACTCTCTTCATCCTCTACAGTTCTGGTACTACACCCCACCTCTGGAACACTCTGCACCGCTTCCCCCCAACCCTCTAGAGCTACACCCCACCTCTGGAACTCTCCGCAAACCCCTCCACCCTCTAGAGCTGCACCCCATTCCTGAAACTCTCTGCACCCCTTGCCCGACCCTTTAGAGCTACACCCCACCTCTGAAAACCCCTCCACCCTCTAGAGCTGCAGCCCACCTCTGGAACTCTCTGCAAACCCTTCTACCCTCTAGAGCTACACCCCACCTCTGAAAATCCCTCCACCCTCTAGAGCTACCCCCTACCTCAGGCACTCACCATTACCCCCTTTCTTCCCCCATCTACAGCAATGCACCCCAGTTTATAAGCTAACTCCATACATTACATTGTCTAGAAAATAATAAGCGCACGTAAGTGGTAATCTTTATTATAAGTGTTATATTGTAAGCTCTCCCGAGCATCTGCCTGACGTATCGATTCCTCCCCCATCCACAATTATTTACCTTGTTTACAGAACACGGAGTCTCTACAGAGAGAAAATCCTACAATTTAATGATGATAATAGTTCTATTAACCAGAACCTAAAACACTTTATACGGCTCGTCCATCACAACACTCCCATCTGCTGGGCACTGCTGGTAAGGCAATGGTGCTATAACACTGACATGCAACAGGAGCGCCATCTGGTGGAAGCATATGAGCTTGCAGCATGTGCCAACACTGCCATCTGCTGGTAAGGCAATAGTGCTATACAGCTGACATGCAACAGGAGCGCCATCTGGTGGAAGCATGTGAACACGCAGTATGTGCCAACACTGCCATCTGCTGGTAAGGCAATAGTGCTATAACACTGACATGCAACAGGAGCGCCATCTGGTGGAAGCATATGAGCTTGCATGTGCCAACACTGCCATCTGCTGGTAAGGCAATGGTGCTATACCGCTGACATGCAACAAGAGCGCCATCTGGTGGTAGCATATGAGCTTGCATGTGCCAACACTGCCATCTGCTGGTAAGGCAATGGTGCTATACTGCTGACATGCAACAAGAGCGCCATCTGGTGGAAGCATCTGAACTTGCAGCATGTGCCAACACTGCCATCTGCTGGGAACTGCTGGTAAGGCAATGGTGCTATACTGCTGACATGCAAGAGGGGCACCATCTGGTGGAAGTATCTGAACTTGCAGCATGTGCCAACACTGCCATCTACTGAGGAGTCTTTTAATTGCAAGCTGACAATAACAGAGCAGGATTCCACACCCCTGCTGCCCGGAGGCTTGTCCTCGGTGGCAAGTCCGGCCCTGCTCCCGCCATAGCCCCTTCCTCATCTGGGTGTGTCTAATTACCATCTGTGCTGGCCCAGCTCCACCACCACTCATCTCCTTATATAAGTAGGGGGAAGTAGTAGCAGTAGGGAGACGTAGGGACAAGCTCCATTAGCGGGGAGTCGCTCTGATGAGTAAATGGCAGGTTTCTGTCACACTGGACGCATGTGATGGGAGATTGCGGTCATTTATTCTCAGCCATTTGATGTGAACAACTGAAGATGTCGAGGAGCTCCAGGCGAGCGGCCACGTTCTCAGCTGAATTAGATGAATGTTCACCGTTTAATGTGCCGCAGGATTTGTTGTTCTGCTCGGCTGTTTTGTGATCCCCCCACGAGCACCACCCTGCAGATAACACCCCTATCTCCTGATTCGGTTTTACAGGAGTGGGCTGTATTTGCATAGGTAACGCCCACATATGATGCTGAGCCTCCATGACTGAAATCCAATAAGTGAAAGGGGCGGGGCCAGGAAGTCAGGCTGGGGAGGAAGCACTAGATGATGCTGGGCGTCCTCCAGCCAGGAGATTAGGCAGGTTCTATCCTACTTGCTGCAGCTTCTAATGTACACTGGGAGAACACACAACATGGGGGAGACGGAACACTTACAATACGATTTCAGCACAATAGGGTTAGGAGGGCCCTGCTCCTGAGAGCTTACAATCCACATGGACCTAGTAGGTCAATAACACTGACCAAATATGGTCATATAAAGGTTCATTATGTCACCAGCGTCCCACCCATTTGTTTACAGGCAGCTGCGAAGGCTGGTGACATCATTGATCTTATATGGCCATATGGTAGATCAGAGACATTGACTAAATATGGTCATTTAGCCATATAAGGTAAATGATGTCACCAGCAGCTGCACGTAAACAAAGGGGCTGGACGCTGGTGACATAATTGACCTTATATGGCTACATGACCATATTTAGTCAATGTGTCTGATCTACCATATAAGGTCAATGATGTCACCAGCATCCCGCCCCTTTGTTTACATACATCTATGAATGCTGGCGATATCATTGACCTTATATGGCCATAGTAGAGCAGACACAGTGACTAAATATGGTCATGTAGCCGTATAAGGTCAATGATGTCACCAGCGTCCAGCTGGTGGTGACATCATTGACCTTATACGGCTACATGACCATATTTAGTCACTGTGTCTGCTCTACTATGGCCATATAAGGTCAATGATATCGCCAGCATTCATAGATGTATGTAAACAAAGGGGCGGGATGCTGGTGACATCATTGACCTTATATGGCCACATGAACAATGACATAATATGGCATACATATAAGGTCAATGATGTCACCAGCATCCCGTCCCTTTGTGTACGTGCAGCTGCGGATGCTGGTGATATCACAGACCCTTTATGGCCACATTTGGTCAATGTCACCCCCCTGCTATGTCCATGTGGCCATATAAGGCTTTTAGATTGTAAGCTCTCACGGGCAGGGCCCTCACAACCATCTTGTCTTGACTTGTAAGTGTAATGTCTCCTTATATAGTAAAGCTCTGTAAAAATCCTGTATAATAATAAGGCCAATGACATCACCAGCACCCCGCCCCTTTGTTTATGTGCAGCTGCAAGGCAAGGAATACCCCAGCCACAGCTGATTGGGCCGGCATCAACACCTTCCTTCCATGTTCGAGACAAACCCGAGCTCATCCTTCATCCAGACCAAATGGCATCAATGCCTGCACTCGCTGTTAAAGTGGGAGAGAGGACAGAGTGCAGAACTAGACCCAAACCTGCAACCTCAGTGTGCCTTTTATTAGCAGCGAGATGTTTTTAGGCGCCATGAAGGCGCTGAGGAGCCGCAGACTCTCCGTGTGATGGGACAATGAGAGAGAAAACAAGACTCAGAAAGAGAAGAAGTTTTACTATTCTACAATGGGGGAGGAGTTACTCACAGTGGCCCCAATACCACGCAAAGGTCCATCACTGTCACCAACTCAACTGCAGGTCGGCCACACCCCCAGGATCAGCTCCTCCTAAACTATAACAGGAAGCTGCACACCTCTGTTCCACTTCATTGTTCCAGCACTGTTGAGGGCACTCAACCCAGCTCCTCTCTATGATGGGTTTCACCCCCTACTGGAGCATAATCTTAGGTGCTCCCCAACAGTGCTGCTGGAACAATAAAGTTTTTGAATGCCGGGTGCAGCTTCCTGTTATGGTAAACGGCACAATGGCTGCCCAGGGAGAGAAAACACTTCAGAAGATCCGCCTGAAATCCTTTTTTTTTTGGGTGGAGTTCTCTCCTAACAGGGGGTCTGGCTCTTGTTAAGACACTAAAGCGGGGGTAGCAAACCTCCGGCCCTCCAGCTGTGGGTGAAACTACACCTCCCATGATGCATCTCTCTCTCCGGGAGTCATGCCTGTGGCTGTGAGAATCTTGCAATGCCTCATGGGATTTGTAGTTCCACCACAGCTGGAGGGCCGGAGGCTTGCTACCCCTGCACTAAAGGATCCGCCGAATGGCCCCCCCGACACACAACTTAGTGCAACTTTGTGAATGAGGAGGTACTACAGTTTTTGTGCTAAGCGAGTAGGCCGCCACGTCTCCGCTAGAGTTTGGGAAGCGAGCCCGGGGGTGCCAGCAAAATCCCGAACACGTAGAAAAGTCCTACGAACAGGTTGAGCTTGGCCGTCTTCTGGGGGACCCCGGTGAAGTTCCGGCTCCTGAACTGGCGCTCCAGGGAAAAGGCCAGCGGGATGGTGAGCAGCGGCAGGGCCATGCTGATGGTGTAACGGGTGGCCAGGATGCAGAAGATGACGTACGGGAAGAAGACCAGCAGGTTGTACAGCATATAGGAAAGCGTCGGGCCGATGAGGATGGCCATGGTGACGATGCCAGCCTGCCTGTCCGACTCCATGTCCCGGGTGTTGTTGCTGTGGAGGATGGCCTCCGTGCTCAGTGCCATGGGCACGGCGTACAACAAGGGGGTGACGGAGAGATAGCCGACCTGGACCGCGTGGGCGAACATGACCGCCAAGGGCCCGAAGGTGATGAGGATCACCAAGTCTCCGAGGGCCACGTACTTGAAGCCGATTCCTGCAAGACAGAAACGAAGGCAAATCTGTAAAAAAAACAGGCAAAGTGGGGCTGCCGAAAAACTGGCAATGCCACGGATTGTAAGAGCAGTGGTGGTCAACCTACAAGGTATAGGGGGGCTCAAATGCAGCCCATGAGGTCCCCAAAGGGCTCCATATAAAAGGTCCCCAAAGGGCTCCATATAAAGGTCTCCAAAGGGCTTCATATAATGGTCTCCAAACACATAATATTCAGTAAAAGTTACCCTCTATAAGACAGCCAGTGATGGCGGAACCCTAGGGATTCTCAAGAGGTTGCTTGGGGTTCCTTAAGCTGTGGCTGGTTGACCTCCTAGTTGATGGTCCCTGCATAGCTCTGGGGCCAGAGTCACCTGGCTTTTCTCAACGAGGGATCTGTGGAACCCAAGGGTTCCTGCATAGGTTCCTTGAGACATGGATTGTTGACCTCTCATTTGATGGCAACTGCATAGTCCCGGGGACAAAGCCACTTGGCCTTTCCCAACCAGGGATCGATGGAGTCCTAGGATCCCTACAGAGGTTGATAGAGGTTTCGTAAGCTGTGGCTGATTGACCTGCCATTTGATGGCGCCTGCATAATCGTGGGGGCAAAGCCAGTTGGCCTTTCTCAACGAGGGATCTGTGGAACCCTCCAGAAGTTGCTAGGGGTTCCTTAAGCTGTGGCTGGTTGCCTCCCATTTGATGATGCATGGATAGCTCGGGGGCCAAAGCCACTTGGCCTTCTCAAGCAGGGATCCGAGGAACACAAGGGTTCCTGTAAGAGGGTCCTTGAGGTTTATTGACATGTGGCTGGTTGACCTCCCATTTGATGGTGACTGCATGGTTATGGGGCCAAAGACACTTGGCCTTTCTCAACCAGTCATCTGTGGAACCCTAGCATCCCTCCAGAGGTCACTACAGATTTCTGAGGCTGTGGCTGACTGACATCCCATTTGATGGTGCCTGCACAGTCCCAGGGGCAAAGCCATAAGGCCTTTCTCAACCAAAGATCTGTGGAACCCTTGGATTCCTCCAGGAGGTTGCTAGGGGTTCCTTAAGCTGTGGGTGGTTGACCTTCTATTTGATGGTGACTGCATGGTTCTAGGGCCAAAGCCACTTGGCCTTTCCCAAGCAGGCATCCGTGGAGTCCTAGGATCCCTACTGATCCTACATAGGTTGATAGGGGTTTCCTAAGCTGTGGCTGTTTTGGCCTGCCATTTGATAGTGATTGCATAATTCTGGGGGCAAAGCCAGGGATCTGTGGTACCTTATGGCTCCTCCAGAGGTTCCTAGGGGTTCCTTAAGCTGTGGCTGGTTGACCTCCTAATTTGATGGCGTCTGCATAGTTCTGGGGCCAACGCTTCTTGGACATGTCAGAAGGGATGGTCAGAGCCTGGGGGTGTGCTCAGAAGCCTCAGACAGACGACATGTTCCGTACAGACCAATGCTCTGTACTCTCACTACTGCTGGGGTCTGAAGTACCAAAGGGCCACAAATTCCGGCACCTCGGTTTTACAACAAAGGGGGTGACCTTCGGCAACCGGTTACTCATAAGGTGCAACCAAGTCCACCACCGCTGAGGACATGGGGAGAAAGATTCCTCCTCGGTTAAAGGTCAACTCCACCCAAAACAGCTGCCATAGGAAACTAGAGATCTGATGACAACTCAAAGACAACGGCCATATTATCTTCAGATCCATATGTGGTCACCTACTGAACTTCTCTGCCCTGCACAGATTTGGATTTCAAGGGGTGGTGTTCCACCCCTTATTGCGTCCTTCTCCTGACCACCCCTAGACATGAATGGCAATCTATTAATCCAGAGCTCGGAAGGGGAAAGGGGTGCAGGCAATGCTGAGAGGAGTCACAAGACCTGAACCCATCTCTCCTTTCTCCTGTGGGGTGGTCTCTGCAGTTACAATGTATCTCTATAAAGCAGAGAGAATGCTTCCCTCCAACAGCACACTGCTAGTCTGTACTAAGATTGTCACATGACACGGCTGGGGAGACGTCACTTCCTGTCCTGGGGATACAACAGGAAGTGAGAGGGAAAGTAAATCCTCTCACTGAAACCCCTTTGGGACAGAGAATGCTTCCCTCCAACATCACACTGTTAGTCTTAGTCTGTACTAAAATCACGACATGACACAGCTGGTGAGACTTCCCTTCCTGTCCTGGGGATACGACAGGAAGTGAGAAGAAGGGTTCCTGTCCTGGGGATACGACAGGAAGTGAGAAGAAGGGTTCCTGTCCTGGGGATACGACAGGAAGTGAGAAGAAGGGTTCCTGTCCTGGGGATACGACAGGAAGTGAGAAGAAGGGTTCCTGTCCTGGGGATACGACAGGAAGTGAGAAGAAGGGTTCCTGTCCTGGGGATACGACAGGAAGTGAGAAGAAGGGTTCCTGTCCTGGGGATACGACAGGAAGTGAGAAGAAGGGTTCCTGTCCTGGGGATACAACAGGAAGTGAGAAGAAGGGTTCCTGTCCTGGGAATATAACAGGAAGTGAGAAGAAGGGTTCCTGTCCTGGGGATACAACAGGAAGTGAGAAAGGAAGGTAAACCCTGTCACTGAAACAGGTGCACCCCATTGGGACAGAGCAGGCTTCCCTCCAACAGAGCACTGCTAGTCTTAGTCTGTACTAAGATCATCACATGACACAGCTGGGGAGACTTCACTTCCTGTCCTGGAAACACAACAGGAAGCGAGAGGAAATCTTAGCGAGAGGAAATCTTTCAAAAATGAGGAGAAATCCTCTCACCAGATCAGGTGCCCCCATTAGGAGATTGTTCCTCTTTTGCTGCTCTGGTGACAACTGTAATGTTTTGGGGTTTCCCCATTTCCTGGCCAGTGGTCACCAGGACAAAAAGGAGGAAGGATTTCCCTCACTGGGGACACAGACCTGACAGAGGGTCTGACCCCTCACCAATCTATCCAATACTCAAGAGGTTTTGGCTTTAGATGCCCTTTAAGTCTAACTGTAGACAAAACATTTGACTTTGAAGTGGAGAGTTTAGATCAGGGGTGGGGAACCTCCGGCCCTCCAGCTGTGGGTGAAACTACAAATCCCATGATGCATCTCTCCGGGAGTCATGTCTGTGGCTGTGAGAATCTTCCAATGCCTCATGGGATTTGTAGTTCCACCACAGCTGGAGGGCCGGAGTTTGGCTACCCCTGGCTTAGAGAAAGGTCAGTTTTCCTGTGTCCCATTTGAGATGTTTCCTCACTTCCTATCAGGACAGGAAGTGATGAAAAGTCTCTCCAAAGGGGGACACAGACAAAAGCACTTATAGAGTGGGGAAGGGTTGGGACATGGGACTGATGCTTTACTGCTCTCTGTTCCTTCCCGTCCTAGCGACAACCACTTCCCCCATTTCACGGATGGGTCTCAGAGGAACAGGAAGTGAGGGAAAAATCTCTCCACTGGGGGTCACAAACAGAAATAAGAACCACCCAGAAATGTCCCCCTCTTCCCCCTTCCATCAGCGAGTCTACGAACCTCCGGTGTAGAGGAACGAGCTGGACAGGCCCCCGAAATAGATGAGCGCCATGTGCTCCAACTTCAGCTTGGACAGGAAGTAGAGACACGCGGCGCACACGCACCCCAGCGTGTACAGCACCACGCCGAACCGCACCACGTCCTGTGGCTCCAGGATGCGGTCCACCAAAGTCCGGTCGTCGCTCTTCTTGTGGTCGATGCCTTTGGAGAAGTCGTAGTAAGTGTTGACCAGATTCCCGGCACCGTGGACGGCCAGCACCGCCACGGCGCAGGCCAGGAGCAAATCCGGGACGCGGCTTCGGAATCTGAGGCGTGTGGAAGAACTCCGACTGCAAAACAAACAGGAAGTTCAGTGACAGGAAAGAGATACATTGTATCCATCTGTAGAGGTGCACAGAATGAGGTATATTGGGGGAGGTTAGATCCCTGTCAGGTCTTTACTTTATCCGAGGCCCCGTTAGAAAGATTTCCCCTTACTTCCTGTTCTGGTGACACCATTTCACTGAACGGGAAGTGAGGGAAACGCTCCAAAAGCTCCCCAGTACGGATTTCCCCTCACGTCTCGTTCTGGTGGCACAGTTTTACCAGACAGGAAGTGAGGGGAACACTCCAAAAGTCTCGCAGACAGAAGTATAAACCCAATTTAAGATGAGAAGGGAAATGTTAGGAGCTCTGTCAGCTTTGTATTGCTCCGTTGCAGACTTCCCCTCACTTCCTGTTCTGGTGACACCATTTTACTCAAGTGAGGGGGAACTCTGCAAAAGCTTCCTTTTGAGGATTTCCCCTCACATCCTGTTCTGGTGGCACGGTTTTACCAGACAGGAAGTGAGGGGAACACTCCAACAGCCTCGCAGACAGAAGTATAAACCCAATTTAAGATGAGAAGGGAAATGTTAGGAGTTCTGTCAGCTTTGTATTGCTCCGTTGCAGATTTCCCCTTACTTCCTGTTCTGGTGACACCATTTCACTGAACAGGAAGCGAGGGAATCTCTCCAAAAGCTCCCTGTTGCGGATTCCCCCTCATGTCCTGTTCTGGTGACACCATTTCACTGAACAGGAAGCAAGGCAATCTCTACAAAAGCTCCCTGTTGCGGATTCCCCCTCACGTCCTGTTCTGGTGACACCATTTCACTGAACAGGAAGTGGGGGGGGGGAACTCTCTAAAAGCCTCGAAGACGGACACTTTTTTAAGATTAGAAGGGAAGTTATAGGACCCCTGTCAGCTTTTTATTGCTCCATTGCAGATTTCCTCTCACTTCCTGTTCTGGTGGCCCCTTTTAACAGACAGGAAGTGAGGGAAACGGTCCAACAACCTCACAGACAGAAGTATAAACCTACTTTTTTTTTTGGGGGGGGGGGGGGGGGGGGGGT